TTTAGAAATCAGACTACCCCGAAGGGTATGTGTGGTGGAAGTAAAGCTATCAATGTCAGCAGATGCACTTGTCAACAATGTTCAATTTGGATTTCCAGGTAGTCGAATGTGGCTTTTGGGATGTTGTGTTGGACTTCATACTACTCGACTCATTTGATGACATCAAATCTCCCCCATCAGCGGTTTACTCAGGTTCGCTTTTTCTCAATTTTTCAAAACCTTAGTTGTACATTTACCTTTGATTTTCCTACGAGATATACAAACATAAGCGTGCTTGCGTCAATGTCTAAGATTGACTCAGTGGAACGTAAATCCATGAAAATGGATCAAGACGAAGTATTTTAGTTACGATTTTTGTATTTTTTAATTTTCGTCCAAGTCTTCTTTGTCAACTGGACTCTATCAGCTGGTTTATCTCGCACACCACAGCTTGTTTTCATTTTGAAATAACCACCATTTGGTGTTGAGGCGTAAGCATCATTCTGAGAAGTCTCACTGCCCTGTAAGCTGGCACAACTTCCATTTTGAAATCAATAAGAAAGTTCTAAAATTTACTATGTAGAAGTATATATTTCAGTCACGAAAAACTATTTTCTCTCAAACTCCATGAAGTACTCAACAATCAGTACAATCATCTGGTCCATGTTGAAGGCTAAACGACAAAGACTGAAGGTTTGCGTTTCATTGTTCTATCGCATATGCAACCTAATCGTCGAAGTGTTAGTCCATCCGTTGTTCGAACATTGTTTTCAAAGGATCCCAATGGTTTCATTGCTCATATTTATAATGTCTCCGAAGCTGTTTCACCCGCCATCACATTGGGATTTCTCGGAACAGATCCTCGCATTGGCGAACTATGTCAGTACTTCAAGGTATGTAGTACAGAAAGTCAAATCTATCTTTTAGTTGTTGTTTGTTTTTGCATGATTGATAATCAGACTGATAGTTGTCAAGTTGTTCTTAAACTCGTCTCATCCCGTGGTCAAGTCCCATATTTATTTTCACCGCAATATTCACACCAGAAAGTGGAGTCAATTTTTAAGAAGTTGAACTTAGTGTGTAGGTGTGCTTAGCCATATATACTTTTCTAGCGGAAATTATTCAATTGCCCTAAGAACATTGGATGCCACTAGACTCATTTTCACT